GGAAAGTTTATTACCTATGTTACTTATTGCATTAAGTTGTTAATTCAAATGTTACCTACTTGATGCATTACCTACCTTGATAATTGTTTACCATCCTTGAAGATGTTTTCATTTACAAAGGCGTAGAATGCTTAGTATGCTTTATGGTAGGCTTTCAAAGTAAAAGTTTCGATACAATCAAAGATGGCATACTGGCCAAAGAAAGAAAGAAGGTTGAATGACTAGAGACTAGTCGGGTGACTTACCTTGAAATTTTGGGTAATGTTGCCGGCTATGTCGCTTAAAGGCCACTCATTGTGGATCTTCTGAACGAGACACTTTGTGGTACTAGTCACATACTCCGGTAAGCCTACTTCGGCTAATCTGATACTAAGACGAATGCCCATGCACTGGGAGTGGTGAGATGGCGGGAGTAGCGTGTACCCTCGTGGCTTGAATGTGGCCGGATTTGAGGTGTGCTGTGCTCTCGGGTGGCGTGGAGATGGTTTAGTATGGGAGGATCCGGTAGCGATGTTGATATATGCAAGATTAAGTTCTACATATGTCGTGTGATAAGGAATCCCCAGCTAGAACTTGAATCAATTCGAATTGCCGGTGCTCCGCGGATATGGAGACTCGATTCATTACAGAAGCAATGTAGAACTGGTGAATTACTAAAACATGAGAAAAAGAATGGAATGAGAAGGATTGGAACATGGTATATGATCACTTAGTTGGAGATATTGAACTAAAATACTTAGTGGTAAAACTTGAAACTAGGATCAAGAATAGTAAGCTTTTGGCAAAGAGCTTTTGAATCTTTCTACATCCTTACCTTTACCCAACACCTGCATCCCTAAGACCTTCACCCTTTTTCGTCGGGTCAGTCTTGTTGAGTACTTTTTGTACTTAGGGTTTGTTAACCCTTGTTGCAGGTGAGTCACATGCGCAGGCTTATTTTGGTCCCTACTGCATGTCAGTGTATAAAGTCGATGACGATGAGGAATGATGAATGGCCTTTGGACAAGGCACTAGTTTGTGTGAAATAAATAATGTTAATGTAATATTATCTCGCTACTATGGTTGTATGACACTTATGGTTATGTAAGTTTGAAACAACTGGTTTGTAATATTAAACTTAAGTCTTCCGCTTTATTACCTCTGGTATGTATATTGAAAAATGTTGTAATCTGCAATGACTGTGATTGGGATCCTATTTGAAACATGGATGATTCGGGTTTCCCGAGGACACCCGACAGACCTGTTAAGTTGTTGGGAACTTGTGTATGCTATCTGAGGTCTGTTGAGACATCGATAGGTGCACATGGGCCCGATTTCTTAGGAGGTTCTGCCACACCAGACACAATGAAAGATTAAAGAACTCACTAAGAAACAGAGGGTTGGGAACAGCCTCCGTAGTACCAGCATCTTCGGTGCGGTGTGTTGCGGCCCGGAACGCCACACTCTGGAAGCGAGTAGAGGGAGAGCGCTCCTCCGCCTCATCCTCAGACACCTCCAAAACACCCGCAACACGACAGCGGTCCGCACTCCCAACCTCCGCATCTTTAGGTGGGAAAGCACCACCACCACCAACGTCTTTGCCCTCAGAGCCAGACGATTCATCACCCAAGACATCGGGCATAGGTGCCACAACGGAGGGCTCAGCAGTGCAGCCAGCACGCATCCCCTAGAGGGCAGCCCCAACAAAATCATCTCCCCAGAGGTCAGTGGAGGTCGTGAAGTGGTCGCCCCCCATGCCAGCCGCTGCTGAAGCAGAGCCCCCATGAATGCTCTCCGTGACTTCTTCAGCGAAGCCGGTAGAAGCAACAGCGGAGGTGGCCCCAACCTTTCATTTCTTGCTGACGGCCTTTCGCCGTGTCGGTACCCCTCCTCTTCTTGGACTCGGCCGCTGCGGCGTTGTTCTTCGCAGCAGCCTTCTTGGCCTTGTCCTCAAGGGACTTCAACACCTTCGTAGGAACCTTGTGTTCCTCTTGGTGTATCCCCAAGTGCTCAAACACTCAGTTAAGCTGAGGCATTGTGCCTGCAATGGCCCTCCGAGCAAGAAACTCCTTATCAGAGATATCCCCAACAATCCCCTGCGCCTCTTGTTCCACGGCAGCAATAAAATCTTCAGGAGTTTCATCCTCCGACAGCTCTATCCCAAAACGGGGAAAAGGAACCCCACCAGCTTCACCATAAATAGGGAGATTCACCATCTCCACTTTGAACGAAGGCCTAGACTTACCAAGAGGCTAGAACCTAGCAGCCACCATCTCCTCCCCAAGATCACGGCCTCTGGAGTACCGGCAAGCCAAAGCAAAGGCCTTGTCACAAGCCTATCGGTGAGGGGTAACCTCGCTGATAGGTGCCACCTTCGTCAGAGGCTTCATCTCTGTCATAACAGAGGTAAGAGGATACCTAGTAACCTTCTTCCCATCCTCATGAGTAGAAGTAACACCGAAGGTCTAAACATAAAACTAATAGCGCATCCAATCCTTGTCCCACTTGTTCTTCTGGCAATACGAGATTTCTAGCCTAGAATCACCCTGCTGGCTCTTCGCCATAAATGCGCAGCTCCCATACTAAGTTATAAGCTCATCATCACCAACCTTCTTGAGCTAGCGCTGAAGCTCGTAATGCTCGCAGAAGGTATCCAGATCTGGCTCGGCACCGTAGCACTCACAAGCCTAGCAAAACTTACTCAAAGCAAGGAAGCCATTAGGAGTAAGATGATGGATTTGCACATCGAACTCCTCAAGCACTTCACGAAGAAATCGGATGGAGGGGAGGCGAAGGCCGCAGGAAAAGTAATCCTTGAAGAAAACAACATAATCCTTACCAGGCATTGGGACAGTCTTGCCCTATGGAAGTTTAGCCCTGCCTAGCAGGAATGCAGCCATCCTTCTCGAATTCAAGAATCATCATCTTGGTCATGAGCGAAGGCCCAAAATCCAAGGTCTTGCTAGCCATAACCTCCACTTCTTCAGCCCCAACCAAATCACCAAGTGAGGCCTCAACACCAGCCAGATCCTCCTCAAGCTCCTAGGCCTCTGTAATAGCAACCATACACTCCTCAAAGTACGCGGACCACCCACTAGCCCTAACACCGAGGAGGCAGGAGTAAGGACCAAAAATGGTAGCCCAGCAGGGAGAGGCACTGACAGTAGAAGCCACCTCTAAAACGCTAAGAAGACCAAAGAAAAAGCGAAGGCAAGTCACAAACCAAGCGAAGGCTAAATACGAAAGAAGGCTTAGACGGCGAAAGGAATGAAAGCAATTGCTCGGTAGGTGTGGGAGGTCTTCACCCACCCCTTCCTTATATAGGTCATGGACAGACGCGCTTCAACTTCCGGACCCAACGGTCACGTCCGGCCAAAGAACGCTGGGCCGGTTCTAGAGCCACCACAACCAATAAGAAAGTGACACGTCACGGCAACAACGGTCTGATCCGAGCGACCCAGAGGGGAAAGGGGGGAAGCCTCCGCAACTCAATATCAATTGTGAAAATTGAGGGTCACAGCCCGCTCGCATCAGACCATGCCCTCAAGGGGGGAACTGTTGGGACATAGACATATTAGTAGCGGAGGCCCCTACGTAACAACAATTGTTTACATGTTCCATGGTGCACAGGTATACCAGGAGGAGCCTTCGGATCCGACCACTGGCGTGGTGAAGGTCGAAGCACAGGAACGCTAAGGGAAGCCTTTCGCCGACCACGAAAGGCGGAGGTCCAAGCGTGAGACTGAATGTGTGCGGAGGAGCTCCTCGCGGAGGTCGCAGAGCGCAGCGGAGGCTCTGGCGGTTCAGGCGAAGGCCGTGTGATCCCCGCCTAGGAGAAGGGAGCTCTTACAGCACTACGGCCTAGAATCGAAAATGGGCCTCCCACGGGCCTACAGCCGAGGCCCGAGAGGCAAAGGTGGTGTAGAAGGAAAAGATCCGAGATGCCCCTGAAGATTTGAACTAGTCTTAGGATATTTTAGAAATGTACCTTAGCTGGCATAGGGCGGGGGATGTATAATGAGACAGTAGTAAACAGTGTCCTCTAAAAGGGGAGACTGAACCTTATATAAAGGAGGTTGGTGAATTCATTTATGAAACCCTAACTGAGCTTGGGCCCACCTACCATTTTCCAAGCCTTCGCTTAGGGCACTCGACTAGACAAAGGCTCCACCTTACCGTTCCTGCTGGAAGCCCAGTTTTCCAACATGAAGCACAACTCTAAGTACCTCGGCCCACAATGGGCACAGGTGTGAACCTACGTACAGCTGGTGAACGTTGTAGAAAAGAGAAGGAAGGCGTGGAGAAGGGGTGAAGAAGGATGAACTAGGAAGTTAGAACCGTCCGGCTGTGTCCGGAAGAACTCGGCGACATTCATCTCGTGTGTATCTAGATCTTGAATTCGAAGTGTTAAACTCCAGTGATCCAAATACAGTTAGTGTCGTGACACAAACATGGCCTAGCAATATAGAAAGGGCTCGTCCACCTCTTTTATTCTCTTCTTGCTCTTTTTCCTCTTTCTTGTCCTCACTTCCTCTTTTCTTTTTCTTCTACTTCATCAGTTTATCTATGTCCATAACTTATAGGGAGACGTGAAGATGCTCAGCTCTGCTAAGAACGATGACGCGTCGCGAGTGCGGGTAACCATGAAAAAAAAATGCATTGCAGATTTGCAGTAATGACTTACACACAAAGATGACAATCTGACATGGATCAGGCAGCTTTGCTTCCATTTGGTGTTTTGGATCGACCACAATTACAAAGTCTGTCTGTTGAGAGGATGGTTACAAAAGTTCAGCCGACATCCATATATATAAATACATGCATATACTTATTAGCATTAGTACTTCACATGAAGTTACTTGGAGCCTCTGCTCTGACCAAAGATACAGAACAGCATGGGCCATCCAATACTGAGCAGATGGTTACATGCAGCTTCTTTGACATTCCTTTTATTTTCTATATATATACGGCCAGCCCGGCACGTCTCTGAAGCAGAAGAACCAAAGGCCCAGGCCCAGTGGCTAGACATGCGCAGAGACCTTTCTCCTCCTATCGCCGTCGCCGCCGTCAAGCTTGATGCCCTTGTACGACATGGCACAGGCGATGTACACGGCGAGGTCGACGAGCGAGAGCGCGGCGAGGAGGAAGTAGAACCTGTCCAGGTGGCCGGAGTTGAGGTTCCCAGGGATCCACCCCGGACGCTTCTCCCCGGCGGTGAGGCTCGTGACCACGCTCACCAGCATGATGCTCACGTAGTTCCCCAGCGAGATGGACGCCATGCACAGCGCGCTGCCGAAGCTCTTGACGCCGTCGGGCGCCTGCCCGTTGAAGAACTCCAACTGCCCCACGTACATGAACACCTCCGACGCCCCAATCAGCGCGTACTGCGGCACCTGCCACAGCACGCTCAGGGAGCTCGGCTGGTCCGGGGCTGCCACGCGCTTCAGCCGCTCCACCTCCACCACGCCCGCCACCACCATCGCCGCCATGCCGATCACGAGCCCGACGCCCATGCGCTGCAGCTCGGTCAGGCCCTGCGGGTTGCTCGACAGCCGTGCCATGACGGGCACCAGGACCCGCCGGTAGATGGCGATGAACACCAGCACGCTGAGGACGTCGAACAGCGACATGCTCGCGGCGGGGAAGTGGAACGACCCGATGTTAGTGTTCATGGTGGCGCCCTGCTCCACGAACAGCGACGCCATCTGGGTGAACACCACCGAGTACACGATCGTGCTCAGCCAGATGGGCAGCATCTTCAGGATGCACTTCACCTCCTCCACCTGCGTCACCGTGCAGAGCCTCCACGGGCTCTCCATCTTCTCCCCTCGGTGACCGTCGCCGCCTTGTCGAGGAACCTGAGCTCGTCGCTGTGAAGGATCTTGCGGATGCCCGAGATCTTAGGGTCCTCTCCTTCCACCTCGTGGAGGAGCTCGCCACGGGGAACCTCAGCGTGCCACTTGCGGAACGCGGCGACGAACACCTGCGCGACGCGGGTCAACGGGTTGCCGCTCGGCTTGAAGTGCCGGTAGTTGGGCGTGCCGAGCAAGAAGAGCACGAGCGCCAGCGCGGCGGCGGCCGCCGAGACCCAGAACCCCATGACCCACCGCCCTGAGTCCTCGTAGTACACGAGCACCGTGTTGGAAAACAGGGACCCGACGTTTAGCGCCAGGTAGAAGTAGCTGAAGAAGGCCACCTTGGAGCGCGCCTCCTTGGGGTCCGTCTCGTCGAACTGGTCCGACCCGAACGTCGCGATGGAAGGCTGGTACCCTCCGTTGCCGAACGCGATCATGTAGGTGGACAGGTAGAACAGTGTGACGCCGGGCGCCGACGGCTTGTCGCAGTGCGCCTTGACGCCGCCGCAGCCGGAGGGCTTCACCAACAAGAACCATGAGGCAAGCGACAGGATCACCAGGCCCTGACCAAGAACAGACACAGGCAAGTTCAGAACAGCGCACCGACAGAAAAAGGATCGATCACAGAAACAGGAGACTGATGGTTGGTCAGTGCAGTGTCTGAAGATGATCGCACCGTCACGTAGACGATCTGAAAGATGGCGCATGTGACGTATCGGCCCCAGTAGGAGTCGCTGAGGAAGGCGCCGATGAGGGAGAAGATGTAGACGGTCCCTGTCCACTTGCTGATGTTGTTGGCCGCCTCGGCGTTGCCCTGGTGGAGCACCCGTCGCAGGAACACCACCAGGTTCACGCCGACGCCGAAGAAGGCGCACGTCGCGAGTCCATAGTTAGCTGCATCAGTAACAGAGACGTGATCCACTTAGTTTCAGCCCTCAATATATCTGATCCGCGGTTTTGGACCCGCAACCAATGTTGTGACATCTGTCTGAGCTTAGTCAGGTTTCGTATGTTATGTAAAACAGAGTTTATATGGATCATGCCAGAGTGAATCGATGAGAGGTCAAAACATAGTGGAAAAACCTGAAGAGTACTAGGATGCTTTTCCAGTGAATTAGTGATGGAGTAACCCTCCTCACTCTGGAGTTTGTTGCTATTCAGCCGAAGAAGGGGTTCTTGTTGAAGGTCCAGTTTGGATTCTGAACTGCATTCAACTCAGGCAGGCAATACATGGGAATATGCTTGCAAACGAAAAAGGTTGCAGTGATAAATTACACAGTTGAAATGTTGAATTAACTGTTCCATTCTGGAGTTCTTTACAAAATCAGAATCGAGCAAGGCCTTGTTTAGTTCTAAAAAGTTTTCTCAAAAAGTGCTACAGTAGCCATCACATCGAATCTTGCGATACGTTCATGGAGCATTAAATGTAGACGAAAAAAAACTAATTGCACAGTTTGGTTGGAAATTACGAGACGGACGTTTTGAGCCTAATTAGTCCATGATTGAACACTAATTGCCAAATAAAAACGAAAGTGCTAAAGTAGCCAAATTTCCAAAATTTAGCCAACTAAACAAGGCCTAACTATGCGATCATGTACAGAGGGAGTCATTACTGATCAGGCATCATGTGAGATGTTCACAACATTTCTTTCCTTTAAAAAAAACAGCTTTTACCTAACAGCAGGATGGCAGATCTCCATCTTCCAGTGGTTGTCTTGACAGCTGGGTTTCCTCGTCTGTCCATGGACCCATCTTCAGTGATGGGAGACGTCCATTTCGAATCAACAGTGGTAGGATCCATCAGTTTGTTCAGTGAGTTTTCTGAACCTACACAGTTCTGCAGACTGCTTCATCAATTATTCAGAAAATAAACCAACAGTTAGTCACCAGAAATTCCAATGTTACTTTTTTGGTTCTTGACAACCTCCTTGTCAGTCTTATCCTATCTAAATGCTCAGGGTTCATATGAGATGAGATGCAGCTGTCTGCCTGTCTTTTTAGTTGCTGTACTATGTACTGTATTGAATGAACTATTTCATTTAGGATACTGTTACACAACAGTCCTGCATACATGGTGTGGAAACTCAGCAACTGTTCCGATTAAAATGCTCTAGTTGTAACTGAATTCTGAAATACGTACATACCAGTACTAACAGGATACCTTTTTGTTGCTTAATTTATTCCCTGCGGCTCCTTCAGGAATTTATGCAGTCTTTCCCTAACGAAGCCTTGAGCCAGCAAGATTTACCCTGTGATTGAGATATATACAACAATATCTCATGTTAGGGATGAAGTAACAGTAGATTACAAAAGCATAACGCTTCCTAATTTAGATCCACAACTATTAATTAACCTAATGATAAAAAAGCTGAGCATGCAGAAGATGTCTTTTTTCTGCTCCCGAAGTGCACTAGCGTAGAAACAAGCAGAGACGGTCATCATGTGCCGCCGTCAGCTGGCTCTTTTTGTCATGATCTGGTCTGCACGTATCAATGAGACACTACTCCAGAAACGAAGCAGCTACCTGTCCGTCCGGCCAAAGCATCGTGTAAACTATGCACGCCCATATAGTGATATAGGTATAGCTAGGCTCGACAACAATGCTGTCGTACGTTGTGCACACAGCAGCAAACGTAAGGGTTGTTTCTTTTACCATGCACGCCAACAAAATCACTTCAGTTAGTAGCGCGGCTGTGACTGATGATGAGTTCCTTGCGCATGCATGTTTCAGAAGCGAACTCTTACAAAATCAGTTTACTATACTTTCGTTCCTAGGACGGACAGATAACTTGATGGCAACTGTGAGATGCGATTAATACTCTAACTCGGATAGATTATTAATTAATATATAAGCATATGTACGTGCACGCGTACCTTCCTTGATAAACCCTCCGGTGCGACCACGCAGCAACTTCTCCGGCGACGGGGACGATAGGCACGTCAGGAACGAGACCGGAGCCAGCACCTGTACCTCAACGACGCCGGCAAGGCCTCCAGTCATTTACCGGACAAACTCCCGGTAGAAGTGGCCGCGGCCGGCGATGAGCGCTCCCTCTGTCTCTCAACAAGCAGCGACTACGTGCGTGCAGCGCAGTGGTGGCGCCCGCGCGTGGCCAACGATGACCGATCTCCTCTTCCTCTCGGTTCCTCTCCACCGGCGGCAATGCAGCAGCAGACGGCGAGTGGGGAGCGGATAGGAGAGGTGCGGGGGTTTGGTCCTTGGGGGGGCGCACGGCCGCTTATTTATGGACGCCGGGAGCCGGAGCCCGGACCCGGAGGGGGGCAGTGAGGGAGTGAAGTGTTGGTGGTGGTGGTGTTCGTTTTCTCCTACGGCCTGCGGGTAAAGCGAGCCCGCCGACACATGTGGCACCGTGCATGGGCCGTGCCAGCTGTTTTCGTGACCCCATTTCCCCCAGAAAGACGGAGATCTTGTGACCCGTGACCCGGCGGGGGCTCGTCGCTGCCGACCGAGCCCTTGCAATCTTTGGTGGCTTGCATAGAGTGATTTATTTTTCTTCTTCTTTTTAATCGTGCTACTAATTTAGCGAAATCCTTGCCACGCGAGCTAGGGATTTAGGTGCGCACTCCTCACCCTCTTGCTGTATCGCCCGCGATCTTCTTCTGGATTTGAGAAAAATGGTGCCTTCTGGATGTACTCCGTAGATAGCCAGGCCGGCTACGGCTGGCTCCAACGGCTGTCGAGGACCGAGATGATGAGGTGGCAAGCGTCAACGGACGTGGTGTGAAGGATGCCCGGCTCAACGGGTTGGCATCGGAGACTCTGTGGTCGGAGTGGCTAGGGACGACCGCAATGGAGTGTGGAAATACTGTACCAGAGCCGGGGCAGAGCATGGTGTATGGCAAGGTTAAAAACCTTTTGGAGATCATCTAGGGCGTTCATTTTTATCCAAGCTCATAACTGGCATGCTTATCAGGGCTGTAAATTTGTCAACAAAAATACTTTTCATTCCTAAATTGACCTCGTGAGTGGTTGGAATAACGGTACTGAAGCACTAGCAGCTAATAAAATGCTAAACACGTGAAAATAAGGTGATGATGATGTAGATGCATCCCCTAGCCTAGTCGTAGAAAATGATTCCAAACAAGAAAATTAATTAAGGGCGTACGTCCCTGTGGATGTCCTCTTTGGTGTGACGATGCATACGCGACCGCGACTGAGTGGTCATGGCTACCTAATTGACCGGCCGGCGCCGACGCACGCGAGCGCAGTTGTCCCGTCTGGTTTACCACGTTGCATTGTGCGCTTGTGCCGCTCTCCATCCTCGTGACGTCGTCTTGAGACTAAGATGGTACAGTAATAGTAATAATGGACATCCATGTACATGTCAAAGTACTGGTTGGTCCTTGTGTGACTTGTGTGAGGTCCCAAGGCGTATATATGCGAATCGGCGTGATATTGATGCATCAGTGGAGTTTCACGCACGGTTGCTTCCAGTTTTCACGCTGCTTTATGCCTTTATCTGTATACCTGACCATACGTCCATGAACCATGATAATACGTCCATGATGACCCAACACGCTGAGCGCTGCTGCTTTTAGACGTGACGAACAAAAAGTTGGTGGTTTTCGCCTTATCAGCATTGCGCCGATGACAGCCACAACCACTTTCTGCAGCCTGTTCGTTTGGCTGTGGCTTGTCGTAAACGATCGTAAATTTTCAGTCGGAACAGTATTTTTCTCTCATATAAACCATCCAGCAATACTTTTTCGCGAAGCAGCAGCAATGAAACGAAGCAGTCAACCGATGCTGGTTGGGTCGTTGGATTGATCCGCAAATCGAACGTCAAAGGGATTCAGATGTTTTGTCCTCGTCGATATACTCTGGTACTGGAGATCGGTGGCCTCGTTGCTCGCTAGCTCTACCGGTATATATGACGGCGAGTAGTTCATGCGAAGTTGGTTTCCTGTGTCGATCGAAATGAATATTGTGACGTGTACACCGACAGCCATCCGGCATCTATTCCAGAAAACACTCGGATGTACCTACAAACTTGGAAGAACGGTGCTGCCGGATTAAGAAATTGTTGTGTTTTATTATTACACAACAAGTTCATTCATGGCACGGAACAACGCACGTACGTGCAAGTTCGAACTCATCAGGGGCACGCATGCATGCATGTTACTCCATGATTTCACTATAATACACGGGCACACGGCGCAGCAGGCGCTAGCTAGCTACTACTTCCTCCGTTTGGGTTTACTTGTCAGCGATTTTTTACTGTAGCAAATTTGACTATCTATTTTTTCTTCTAAAAAAATCTTAGATACTTCAATGTATATAACACTAATGAAGTATATTCAATAAAGAATTATATATGTGAAAACTTGATATATCTAAAAAATCTTTTGCAGAAAAAACATATGGTTAAAATTGCTACAGTAAAAATTCGGTGACAAATAAACGAAAACGGAGGTAAGTACCTCCCTAGCTACCTCCGTCCCAAACGTAAATCTCGCTTTTCAAGATAAGGTTAGTGTAGTTGTAAAATTACGTATTTATCCTTACCATCATTCTCCCTATAGATAGAAAATAGAAAATAATCATTGTATTCTAGAATATTCTTCTCGTAGATAGATAAAGTAGTGGTATTTTAATAGATGAGTCCCATTAAAAAAGTTATTTTTATGTCTAGAATTATATTTTTTCTTATAAAAGATTTGAAATTCAGGATTACGTTTTCTTTTAACAGAGGGAGTAGATATTCTTGAATGCCTGTTTGCGCGGCACAGCTCATATCTGCACACCGGTCGATATCGACGTCGCTGCCACGGTACAGAGACTAGGCGACTAGGCTAGGGGGGGGGCACGTTGTACCACAGTGAGAGCGAGTACGAGTACGTACCAGAGTCCAGAAGCATCGTCGCCGTAGTCCGTAGAGCCCAAAGCGAATCCTTTCACTGCCAACTCCGGCCGGGCAAGTAAGGGCACGTTTAGTTCGTGGAAATGTTTGGGTTTGGCTACTGTAGCATTTTTGCTTGTATTTGATAATTAGTGTCTAATTATGGACTAATTAGGTTTGAAAATTTCGTCTCGCGATTTCTCACCTAACTGTGAAATTAGTTTTTTTTCATCTATATTTAATGCTCCATGCATACGTCCAAAAATTCTATGTGATGGACAAAAACCAAAAAAAATTTGAACTAAACGCGCCCTAAGCGGAGGTACCCACACTACAACGTAGCCATCGTGGTGGTACAAGGAATCTCGTGCAAAGACCAAGCAGCAGGTGAGATGACCCATCGGTTGGTCGTCTTGCGATGAGCCGTGCGACGCTTGCAAAGCTGCATGCCTACATGCATGCATGGCTGTGGCTGCACGCATGCACCCACGCATGCACGGTGAGTGAGCTAGAGCTCGCGCGCACGCGCTACGGACAGGCCTCGGAGTCGTGTGACAGCACTGCTTTTTGTCGTCGTGCGCTTTAGACCAGCGGAAAGCGGCGCTTTAGACTGACATCGAGCTGGAAAAGGACAACTCAAGGAGAAGAACCAGCCAAAAGTGATAAGCTATCACTGGTTGCCTGGATCCAGCAGACGGATCGATCACGGATTCACTGGATGCATGGTTCGCAGCTGTTGCCTGTTGGTGTCTGGGATAGTAGTAGACTAGTAGTGCACCGTATATGCACTCGATCTTGCGCGCGCGGAACGGTTTGCGTGTGTGTTTTCTTTTTCTCTCCGTGCCTAACTTTTGTTTGCCCCTGCTTTGAACTTTCCTGGATGCAATGCAACAACGGATGCAAAGGTTGAACAATTTGGCAGTGGAAATGACACCGATTGAAGTGGATGAGACGTTGACATTTGACAACACCATCGTACAAGCATGGTTGAGGTTTAGCGTCAGGCGGAGAACAGCCCGACGACGATGGACCAGCTGAAACCCAGACGGGAGGAATGGACTAGATATTCCTCTTGAGCATGTCTTTCATTGTGTATGCGTGATCATGGGTGCGAGTCTTATGGTTGGCCAACTTTTGAAGGATGATTATTGGTAAATAAAGACAAAATAAATACTCCCTCGCTCCCCGTCGAAATACAAAGTATCAAATGTTCAAAAAAATAAGGTGTTTTGATCGTTCAACATTAACTATGCCTGTTTGCTTTTTTAAACCACATCCATGTATGACTTTTAGGTCCATCTTGAACAAAATGACTTCTATAATTGATAGCTGAAATCAATAACAAATATGAATGTGTCGGGTTCGTAAACCTGGGTCTCTCATGGACTGGCTTCCCAGCAAAGGCTCGGCCCAGCAGACGAAGTTGTGAACGACGCGCAACTCCTGGGCCGGCCCAAAAACCTGACAAACAGGACAGAAGGACGATCCAATCTCCAACCGGAAGGCCTCGCTTCCGACTCCAGGCCGCCTCCGGACGGCCTCTCCGACTGGAAGGCCTAGCCAAATACCACTCCGACTCCGACCCCGCGTCTCTGAACGGGGATGCGCCGAACCCCTGCTCACAGCTCCTCTCCAACTGGCGCAATCAGAGCCGACTGGGACCACCCGACCGGGGACGCCCGCTCGATAAGGACCAGGAAACAGACGGAGAAAATAAGGCAGGGCACCCAAGTCAACCGCAAGACTAAAGCCCCCTTTGGCACGGCTCATCCAAAACGGCTTCACCGGTGAAGCTAAAAGCCCGTGAAGCCGTAAAACCGCTTTTCCGGCTTCTAGTTCATTTTAACCCGGCTTACACAAAACAACTTCACGCCGCAAAGGCCTCGATTTACATAAAATAGATGAAGCGAAGCCGGTATAAGTCGTGCCAAAGAGACCCTAAAGACCATACCGTGTACATCTGTTGTGGCAAGATCGACAGACATGTCGGAAGATTGCCGCAAACTTCCAGCATGTCGAACAAGTGTTGTAGGCGCCGACATTTGACCTCTGAGTGTGGGCGCTCGCAACAACCGCCATACCGGATTTAACACGGTAAAACCCCTTGCATGCCTCGAGCATCATCAAAGATGGCGGCACC